TCCCTCTGCGCTCGGCGGCAGGGAGGGCGAGCGCTGGCCCCCTTCTGAGGGCGAAGCTGCCATGCTCTTCTCCCTGCCTGCCCCCCGGTCTTGGGGTCCCCCCCAGTCCTGCATGGGCCCAGGCGGCCGTGCGCCCAGCACGGCGGGATGCAGAAGCATTCAATAACCCTCGTCAGAAAGGCTAATCTGATGCAGGCTCTGAATGTCCAGATCGTGCCTGACCTACATGTTGTCTGGTTTTTCTACTTTTTATTATGTTTGGATATTGCTAATTGAGGGGTGGTGGAGGGGGCGGTCTGTTAGTTTGTAAAGCAGAAAGACATATCTGGATACAGAAAGAAAGAAACCCAGTGCATTTCTGCAATAATAACCCCCTGTTAGCATTATTTTCCCCCCTCTTACGAGAACAATACAGGCTCGCTGTAAGCTTGCCCAAACATGGGCTGCCTCTTATTATCCACTGGTGTGGTGCCTCGTGCGAGAGGGTCCTCTCTTGACTGGCTTCACGCGCTCAGCAGAAGCAAGGATGGGCTGGCACACCACTAACCGTGCTGTATCTGTAGCAAGTGCCACTGCTGAGGCACTAGGTTTCCGCAAAGGGGGAAAATGCGGAATGCTTTGGGCAAACCCGGTTCTTTCTGTTTGAAGTAGCAGATGCTCCTCTCCGGTTGACTCCAGTCACTGGCGTGGCTCTTGAAAGCTACGTGGTTCGAAGTCTCTGGTACTGCTTTTTCTTAGATGCTGGTGTCTATATTTTTTTAAAAAAGAAGTTAATAACTTTGTGATTGAATTGAAAGCCTCTGTGACATCTAACTGTCGGTATGAAAACAACTGTCTGTCTACCTTAAAGACGACCCGGCAACCTACCTTCCACGTCGTAGAAGGTTGCTGTGTATCTTTGGTCCTAGGCACCTAAGTGTACCTTTAGCCTGAGGAGATACTACACGAAACCCATCTGTCTGCTTTATGCATTTACAGAATTAGGTCTTCATTGGTGGGTTTTCTCTTCTGAGGCAATTTTTTATCGTCACTACTTACAGGGTATCGTATTTGATATTGAAAACTCAAGATTGTTCACCTTAAGTTTAATTGCAGTTTTATCCCAGAAGTGCAATAGCAGAACGCTTCAAATAAACAAGTCAGCTGGGGCAGGAGGGGTTGGGTTTTTTGTTAAACACCCCAATTTGACCTTCCTCCCCAAATACTAATCTTTACTGAAGGAGTTGCAAGGGGGAAGGGAAGTAGGATTTAACTTGTGTTCCAATAGCCTTTTCAGTTCCTGTTTTTTATTTCAGTGCTGGTTGAAGTACTTGTGAAAATTGCTCACCTGCAGGAAACATGAGGTCGCAGTACGTCACGGCGCCCACGGTCACTGTCCTTCTGTTCCTGCTGTGGATCCAGTCGTCAACAGGCTGCAATAAGGCTCTCTGTGCTAGTGATGTCAGCAAATGCCTGATACAGGTACAAGTCGCCTTGCCTTTGTTCGCTTTTAAGCATTTAAGATTTTGAAGCTATGCCTTGAAAAGATGCAGTGATACAAATAACTGTATTTTATGTTACAAAGTGTCTTTTTAAAGAAGTTAATTTGGTCTTCTGCACATATAAATGCAGATTAACATGCATTTTATAGATAATATTAGGTGTATGTGTATAAGGGCATGTTTCTTTTTTTAATGGAAACATTTTCAATTAGTGGATTATGATTGCTGGGTTATTGTTAGAAGCTACTACCAGTCACGCTGTTAGTTTTCGTCTCTTTCTTCTTTATTAGTGATATTATGAACAAGCAACAATTTAAAGCAGACATTTTATTAGAAAGGTTTCTGGGGGCAACAATTGTTTTTTTTTTTAAAGATAAGTGCAATATCAGCAGTTCAAATGTGCTTACAATGTTCCCATATCTCTCTGAGATGTTCCCCTTCTCTGTTCCCCTTAACTATCTGTCCACTTTCTTAACTCTGCCGGCCCAGACAGAGGGTCAGTCGTCAATGCCTGATGCTCTCCATAACATCAGGTTTGTAGAGTCGATGAAAAGATGCCTAAAATATCACATGAGAGAACTAACATGAGTAGGGACCTAACTTGTCTTAGAGTCCTGAGGTGCACTTGGAAAAGCTTTTTGATCAGGAGGGACCTATGGCCGTTAATGGTAATGAGCAAGCTCTGAAAGTGTGTGGATCTACCTTAAAAAAACCTTACAAACCAAAAACCCCCAAAAAACCAAAATGCGTCCAAGTTGAAGTTGTAGGCCATCAATATTAAACTCAAATCCAGTTGCTGCTTTTGACTCACTGTATGTAATGTCCACACAGTGAAAGAAACAGACTAAGACCATCATAGAACAGTTTGGGTTGGAAGGGACCCTTTTAAAGGTCATCTAGCCCAGTGCCCCAGCAGTGAGCAGGGACACCTTCAACTAGAGCAGGTTGCTCAGAGCTCCATCCAACCTGACCTTGAATGTTGGAGGGGCATCTACCACCTCTCTGGGCAACTTGTGCCAGGGTTTCACCACCCTCATCGTGGAAAACTTCTTCCTTATGTCTAGTCTAAATCTGCCCTCTTTTAGTTTAAAACCATTACCCCTTGTCCTATTCCAACAGGTCCTTCTAAAGAGTCTGGTCCAACTGCCTGAACCAATTCAGGGCTGACCAAAAGCTAAATCAAATTATTAAGGGCATTGTCCAAATGCCTCTTTAAAGGTCATCTAGCCCAGTGCCCCAGCAGTGAGCAGGGACACCTTCAACTAGAGCAGGTTGCTCAGAGCTCCATCCAACCTGACCTTGAATGTTGGAGGGGCATCTACCACCTCTCTGGGCAACTTGTGCCAGGGTTTCACCACCCTCATCGTGGAAAACTTCTTCCTTATGTCTAGTCTAAATCTGCCCTCTTTTAGTTTAAAACCATTACCCCTTGTCCTATTCCAACAGGTCCTTCTAAAGAGTCTGGTCCAACTGCCTGAACCAATTCAGGGCTGACCAAAAGCTAAATCAAATTATTAAGGGCATTGTCCAAATGCCTCTTAAACACTGACAGGCTTGGGGCATTGACCACCCCTCTAGGAAGCCTCTTTCAGTGTCTGACCACCTTCTTGGTAAAGAAATGCTTCCTCATGCCCAGCCTAAACCTCCCCCGGCACGGCTTTGAACCATTCCCACATGTCCTGTCACTGGATCCCAGGGAAAAGAGATCAGCACCTCCCTCTCCATGTCCGCTTCTCAGGAAGCTGAGGAGAGCAGTGGGGTCGCCCCTCAGCCTCCGTTTCTCCAAACGAGACAAGCCCAAAGTCCTCAGCTGCTCCTCACAGGACATTCCTTCCAGCCCTTTCACCGGGTTTGTTGCCCTCCTCTGGACACATTCAAGGACCTGGTGAAGTCCAGGTGACTGGAAAAAGGGAAACATTGCACCCATTTTTAAAAAGGGTAGAAAGGAGGACCCTGGGAACTATGGACCCATCAGCCTCAGCTCTGTGCCTGGGAAGGTCATGGAACAAATCCTCCTAGAAGCTCTGCTAAGGCACAGGGAGGACAGGGAGGTGATTCGAGACAGCCAGCATGGCTTCACCAAGGGCACGTCCTGCCTGACCAACCTCGTGGCCTTCTATGATGGAGTGACCACATCAGTGGACAAGGGAAGAGCTACTGATGTCGTCTATCTGGACTTCTGTAAGGCCTTTGACACAGTCCCCCACAACATCCTTCTATCTAATTGGAGAGAGATGGATTTGATGGGTGGACGAGGAACTGGTTGGATTGTTGCATCCAGAGGGTAGTGGTCAATGGCTCAATGTCCAGATGGAGATCAGTGATGAGTGGCGTCCCTCAGGGGTCCGTATTGGGACCAGCACTGTTCAGTATCTTCATCAATGACACAGACAGTGGGATCAAGTGCCCTCTCATCAAGTTTGCAGATGACGCCAAGCTGAGTGGTGCAGTTCACATGCCTGAGGGATGGGATGTTATCCAGAGAGACTTGCACAAGGTCGAAGAATGGGCCTGTGTGAACCTCATGAGGTTCTTCTATGAAGAAAGGCTGAAAGAGTTGGGGCTATTCAGCCTGGAGTAGAGAAGGCTCCGGGGAGACCTTATTGCAGCCTTTCAGTGCATAAAGCCTTTCAATTCTATAAGAAAGATGGGGACAGACTTTTTAGCAAAGCCTGTAACAACAGGACAAAGGGTAATGGTGTTAAACTAGAAGAGGGCGGATTTCGACTAGGTAGAAGAAAGAAATGTTTCACAATGAGGGTGGTGAAGCACTGGCACAGGTTGCCCAGAGAGGTGATAGATGCCCCATCCCTGGCAACATTCATGGTCAGGTTGGACGGGGCTCTGAGCAACCTGATCTAGTTGAAGATGTTTAAAGGTCCCTTCTAACCCAGACTGTTCTATGATCTCGTGACCTTCACATCCTTCTTAAATTGTGGAGTCAGCTGCAGCTTTTTTAAAAGAAACCGTTTCTTACTGCCTCTTTGTAGACTGGAAATGCAAAAGCAGAGAGCACATATATCATATGCTAGTAATGTGCTAGTATGTTTACTGTAAATGTATGATAACAGTATGAAAAGTGATGCAGAAGTGGCATGAAGCATTTCCATGTTCACTTCATTCCATTGACTTCTGTATAACAATTGTCTGGTTCACAAATGAAAATACTTGCTGGATTCACAAAGGAAGATAATTCATCCTACGGTAGGATGACTGTAGGATGAACTGTTGTCTTTCTGGCTTCTGCACTGCCGTTGCTTTAAAAAATACATAAAAAAAGAAAAGAAAAGAAATTGCCATTGCTTCTAATTCATCCACGGTCTGTAGAATTGTTAAATACAGGAGCAAGCAAGAGGCTTTTGACTTTTGCATTTTCAAAGACAATGTCAGTGTTTTTGCTGGTACGTTGGGCATTGCACGCTGTGACAAACCGATGCACTTACAAGTTCCTTCTTTTGCATTTTTTTGTGTCGCCTCTGGGCTTGAAACCTTTAAAAAGTAAGATGCCAGTTGTGTCACTGGCTGTACGAGGCACTTAAATAGCAAGCACAGTGGTGCGGATGTGTTGATACATATTCAGGAGAAAGCAGTTGGTCCAGATGAATGGGGACGAAGGGAAAAACAGGGAAGATTTATTGTCTCCTTTTCCTCTGCCGCTGAGGGACTCCACCATCCATAAAAGTACAGGCATCTCCTTCCCACTTACCATTTAAACTTCATTTTTACAAGCCCATCTGAATAGAGTAGAGCCCAGGAGGAGCGGGGGTAATGCTACCGGAGTCGTTCCTCGGCTGGGGATAAGGTGGCTCGTGCGGCTGTGCTCGACTGGGGGTATGTCGGCACGGCTGTGGCGACGCAGCTCCGCGCGTGCAGAGACACCCCTCTGCTGCTTTACTTGCTGTAGGTGGGTTCTCTCTTTCCTTCGTACGGGTGATGGATGTGAAACGCCTTTTTAAAGCGTTTGCCTAAAACTGAAATCGTGCGCAATTCCCCAAGACCCTGAAGTAACCCAGAACTGTGTACGGTTACGGGGGAATGCCGCTGTTCGTTTTCACCGTCTGGCTGCTCTCTTTCTGCGAACGGGCCTGACATACCAGTCAGTATTCATTCTTTATAGCAGTACAGATCAGGTCAGACTAGTCTGATTGTGGATATGAAGACTCCTAACGCTTTGACTTACAGCGATTATCATCTTTCTTCCTGGCTTTTTTTTTTTTAAATTTTGTTTTAAATCTTCAGTGCTGTTGTGGCAGAAGCGCCGCACTGCTGTGTGAAGTGCGTGTTGTTTCTTGGGTAGGTGTACAAGCGGAGTATATCCATGTATTATTTTTTTTTTCCCCTCTAAACTCTTCCTTCTGGAGAAATCTGAACTTAAAAATAAATTGCTATGTTGAGTGAGTTCCCTTGACTATCGCACAACATTTTTCCCTAAACTATTCTTATAACTGTTCTAGTTTGGCAAAATCTGTGGCTTGAAACCAAGATAATGTCACTCGGAGACAACTGGGGAGCAGAGAGAATGTGAATGTTTGTCATCTGCATCTGCGTGCAGAAAGTGAAGCCGCTTTTCTTAGAGGCATAATGAGACAAAAGACCTCCTCTCTCGAAAAGCATACAGTTAACATAAATATTTTTGCCAGCATGGCTAGAAGTCAGTACAGTCATTACTGCCACTCCTTAGGAGCCGCTCTGCTTAAGGGTGGTCCCTACATAAATATTTATTTTGTTAGATCCAGAACAGAGCATGAGATCAACAACTCGCACGCATTCAGCTTTCCTTTTACATCTTGAGGCCCTAGCTTAATTGGTGCTCTCGTAGTCTACTTCTTATTTTTCTGTAAGCAAAGGCCTGTAAGAAGATAGCTTCAGGTGTCTCTCCACACAAGCTTAGCCTTCACGGAAAAACTTCCTGTAGTTGTTGAAGGAGTTGTGGATAAGACTTGGGAGCACAGGCAGAGTGGGACCACAAAATCAAGTTCCGTGAAGGCTTTGGGTGTAGCACCTTCCCCTGTCTCTGGGATCGGGGTGTTGAAGTCGGTAGCTGACCGTTGCCTTGCTTTTCAGGTAGGCCACCGAGCCCTGGGCGCGCACGACGTGCGTATTGCCGTGTTTGTTCTAGCACGTCTGTTTGTTGGCTTGGACGCACGGGTTGTGTTGGTGTTTCCATGTGTGGAGGAGACGAGGAGGCCAGTTAACGCTCGCTGGGCGGCGCGGAGGCGTATATTGTGTCCTTGCAACACGGAGGAAACTCTTGAAGGCAGAAACCTCTAGGATGGGACGTTCCCACAGTTGTTTGTAGCAAACGAGTTCGAGGCGAGCCCCAGGCTGGCTCTCGCGGTGAGAAGCTACCTGCAGCGGCCGGGCGTGGCGGGGGGGGTCGCCGGTCCGGTGCGGAAAGCCGAGCTTCGCCGCCTCATCGGCAGCAGCTCTTCAGCTACGGCCGTAGGAAACAAGCGGTGCTCTGGTTCAGGCATGGGTTTCAGGTCTTTCTAAAGAGGGACTGTTTTCCGGAGAATACAGAGTTTTCTCTCCCAGACGCTACATGCCTGCGGTCCCCTTGGCTGGTGCAAGTATCGTTCCGATGAAAATCTCTCTTCGTCTTTGTCTTCACCTCCTGTTAATCTTGTGTACAAACTTGTCAGCTTGAAAGGATTTCCAAGACATTTTAGCCCTGTGGCATGAAATAAACACCACTCCTTAACTTCAGGGCTTAGGCATCTAAAAATTACTTTTAGTGTGTGTGTTGGAGCTGTAGTACGTAACACAGTTGGGTTAACAAAACAGTTCTGGCTGGTTTGCTTCCAGGAGATTTCTGTTATTAAACTGTTCTAGGAAAAAACATTAACTCTTTTTCTTTCACTTCCCCCCTCCAGTTTGCAAAGATGTTGCCAATGCCTTCAGGTCCTGTTTCTCGCTGCACTGAGAAAATAGTCTCTGTCATTTCAAGAAAGCTTTGAAAAAATGCAGATGTTAAATACCGTGTAAAAATCTTTATTTGTTCTCTGGAGCAGAAGTATCTTTACTGTACAAACATGCCTGCTTCCTATTTAGTGCTATTTAGGCTTATTCCTTGCCTGGCAAAATACATTCTCCGATGCACCTTCAGTAGTTCAGCTTGGGAAGTTGCCAGGTTCACTTATGAGTAATATTTTTCTTCCACTGACGCCTTGCCACCCCCAGCTATCAACAAGGAACGTTTCTCATTCTGCCTCGCTTCACCCACGTCTCATGTAAGCATTCTTTTAAAAAGATGTATCCTGTACAAGTATCCAGTGTGGATGAGTCAGGCAGAAGGACTCCAGAGTGGTTAAGGAAACCATGTATGTGCAAACACATACATGGAAAAACATACAGTTATTGCCCTGAAGAGACAGCTGAACTCTGAGAAGGGGGGAGCTGGAGAACTGTGCAGAAGACTAATTAGGTTGCTCTTTCTTCCCTCCTACCCCTCCAAGTTTAAAAAAAAAAAAAAAAGCTTAAAAAAAAAAGAAAAGAAAATAAAAAATTACACTGCTCGTAAGCCCTTCCTATAAAAATAAAGTTGTTAAAATACCAGTAGGTATGGTGATGCTATCCTAAGCTACTGCTTATGTGTATCGAAGCTAAGCAGAATTTTTTTTACTACGTTGCAAATGTGTAATTTAAGGTTGCATTTAATTCAGTGAGAATACTCCTCTTAGACTCACAGCAGTACAATCTATAAAACCGAAACAACTTAAAATCTAGTGAATTTCCTGGCTTTGATTTGTACATTACATTTAATAGTTTACGGAGAATCGCCTCCTCCCACATACTGGCTTATTGGTGTTGCAATGTCTTGAATAAGTACAAAGTTGTTTGTGCAGTTTTGCTGCTGAAGAACAAATACACAGGATTTTTTTAATGCTGATATGTATTAATATTATTCTCTGGCCAAGGTAACAGTATTTTACTCATGGTTGTTTCTAAAGTTGTTTTATTCAGGCTTTTTTATTCTCAAGGCTGACACAATCTGTTTCTCAAGCGGTAAGATAAATATTTTAGAAATGCGTCATTCATTCACATAAGTCATCTTTCTAAGTTTGTGGTGTCTCCTCTTGTGGAAAAAATTGTATATTAATGAGCCTGTTTTTCATCTTTCACTTGGAAACAGCATAGTAATAGGTGACATTAATAAACTTTGAGGATGAAAAAGTAAAAAATCCTGCTAGTTTTCCACTCTGTAAATACAAACTCAAGACGTAGCGAGGCTGCATATTGCAGAAATGCATGTGGACACAACGGAGTTCGCGCTCGGTCACGGTTCCCATCAAACTCTGCGGGCGACGGCATTTCTCGGCATTACGTAGAACACGCAGGAGTGTGTGAATTTTGTTTCTTTGCTGGCTTCAGGAAGATTTGTCATCGGGGAGGAATCAATGCATTTATCAATGAGATCAGTGCATTTATACTGCGTTAGTACGTTGTAGCGTGTCTGCGGCAGGTTTGGGTGTTCAGTTTCAGTCTGGAACTTGGAGCCCTGCAGCTTCATCTGCTGCATTCTTAAGCCCTGCCCTGTCCCCCTTGCTCTGGCCTCACCCTCCGAAATGCGCTCGTCGGTCTTCCGTGGGCCCGCGCGAGCTGGTGCGGGAGATCCCCGCGCAGCGGAGATGGGCAGTCGCCAGCGTTGCGGAATACAGAGAGAGCGGGGCTGGTACCTGCATCTCTCTGCCTTGCAAACTCACTCACGGTGTTTGATGTAAAAAGGCCTCCTTTCTTCCCTACCCGATGCTTCTTCACAGCAGCAGGGAAAGAATTACTTAAAAAAATGGAATTTTTCTTCCAAAGGCGCTACAGAAAGACTTTGAGGGTGATGCCCGCGTCTGCCCGTAAGGAGCGGCGTCCCTGACCCGGCTGTGGTTAGCTGAGGTGGAGCCTCGGGTGGCGACTCCAGGTTAGGAGAATTTCATGCCAAACCATCTTCCCGCCCTTCCCTCCTGTCCATGTGTGTCTGCCGACCACACCGCGGCGTGTCCCTCCCCTGCCTCTGGAGAACAGGATCAAAGGGCAGGGGTGGACGTCATCGTCCCCCTGGTCCGGCGCGTCACGGAGATTTGCTGGTGGCTCTTCCAGTAAAGCTGGGGGTGGGAAGGATCCCGTGGTCAGCGTTTCCAGTAACGGGATTTTGTTTTCTCACCAGTTGTGCGTAATGTGATAGTTAGGCAGACATCATCAAAACCAAATTCTTAGGCGGGACAACCAAATGGGACTTCTTGGCTGTCCACATTTTGCACTATGGCGTGACCCAAGCCCATATATTACTGTGACGTAGCTGCAGTCTTTTGGCCAAACTGGAATTACTAGTACAGGTTTGAGCTAGAGGGAAGGAGACCACCTGTTGTTTAGATTTCCTTCATCCATGTAGGCTATTTCCATGCTCTGAGGTTCACAAGTGTGTGTCTTCAGCAGAACTACTAAACCAGTGCCTTCAGGTTTAGGTAACATGAGGAGAAAGGTTTGTCGTCTTGCTTCCATGCCTTTTCTGTTTTTCTAGCTTAATAACAGTTAAAGAAAAATCTGTATGCATACCGTCTCACTTTCTAGAGGCTCCAGAAGTGTTGGAAGTATCCCAAGGTGTCGATTTTGGGGGGAAGAGGGAGACAGTCGTTTTCATAATAGAAAAAATGAATCAGCTGGGCCTGGGGAAAAAACCTAATCAGTTCACTAGTGCTGCAAACGGAGAGCGGTGTGTAACAAGCATTCCGAGATGCACAAAATCCTGTGGTCAGGTCACTGAGCCGAGTAAGTTCCTCTGAGAATCCACAAATAGGTGTGACAGTAGGTGTTGTGTATCTGCTTGAGTATGCACATTGCTGCTTATAGTAACCTCTCTTTTTAGCTAAATTATAGCGTATGCGTACTCCTTATATATAAAGAAACATCCTTCTTTGAATTTCCTGTTGGGAAAAACATTCAAAGAACTTGCAGATTCAGGCATACGTGGAAGTACATGCACCTTTCCCATGAATAGGATTTTTTTTTCTCTTTTAAATGCTTCCTAGCCAACTTTAGATTTGTCTTTAGAACTTCTCTATCCAAAAAACCCAAAAAAACTTGTAAAAAATCCTTTTGTAAACTAAGATCGGTTCTTTGGCTGGAACTGTTTTACCGTTTACTCACTGTATTAGCGTACTAAGCTTTTTTAATGCCGTAATTTGAGTTGCGGCTTGAGGAGGAATTGCTGTGCCGTGTGAGGATTTTGCATCTGGGGTTGGTGTGGTATAATGAGTTTCTGTTGTTTTCAGGAGCTGTGTCAGTGCCGCCCTGGGGAAGGGAACTGCTCCTGCTGCAAGGAGTGCATGCTCTGCCTGGGCACACTTTGGGATGAGTGCTGCGACTGTGTTGGTAAGTTTGCGTTTGTTTGGGATTTTCTTCTTTTGGTTTTTTTTTTTTTTTAAATTGCTTCCTCCTGCCACATGCTGAGCTCACAGTCTTATAATAGAAGTAAAACATCGGGACAGAATCTGTGCTTTAAACATCTTACAGCTCATTCTGTGGATACTAAGTAAACTACTGTGGGGAACCAAACATTTGAAGGCTGTATCTGCTCTGTGGAGTGGGAGGCGGTGGTAGTCCAGGTTTTGTTTGGTTAATGTCATTCCAACTGACTCATAACTTTGTCTCTAAAACACAAACTCCTTTCTGAATTGTCATCTTGAGGAAACTGTGCAGCACCTCCTTCATGGGGTTGGAAGCTGTACAGAGGTTTCTAGCTGTAAACTGGATTGAGAGGTAGCGCACAGGGACACTTGGTAGGGATAGCGCACTGTTCCCTTGAGTTCCCTTGTGAATCTAGTAGTCACCATGCATGGCCCAGTGTTTTCATCGTGCTTTTACTTGCAGAAAGAGCTCTTTGTGGAGGGTAAGAGAGAGGCATACAAGTCCTTACTGTAGAATTAGATGACAGTCTTAACAAGAACAGCATTACTAACAGGTAGTGTTCAGAGATTCCAGATATCTGCAAGTAAATGCTGCCCCTGCTTAAGGAGGATGTAATCCAGTTCCATCTCTTGTTTTAAATGTATTGAAAGCTTCATCCTCCTGTGGTTGCTGTAAGTCTCCCTCTGCTGCCATTCAAAATCCACCTGGCTTCCATGAAAGGGATGTGTCTTGAGTGTTGTACCTGCCCTCAGCTTCTCTGGCTGGCTGGATCGTCTCTGAATTCACGAAGATGGTTGGCTTCAAAATGCTCCTTTTCAGTGCAGTCCATTGCTTCTCCTGTTCCATCATGATGTGCACATGCTTTCCCACATCCTGCGTTTTGCTTGGTTCTGGATAGCTTACCTTTGCTTTACTGTCTTTCAGTAAGCAGCAAAGGGGCATGGTCTTGCGCATGTGTGATTCTTCCCAATGGCATAAAGTATTTTCAGCCCCTGCAACTGTGGAGGATATACACTTAGAAATAGGTCTTAGAATTTGTTTTTCCTATTTGATCTAAAATCTTTTAGTAAGCTCCTTGAAAAGTGAAAAATATACATATATCTCCTTTTTTTGCCATCCCCTTTGTCCTTTCCATGTCTTCTTGATTTTTGTAATGTAATACTAACGTGTGCTGTTGTCATTTTCAGTCATAGGGGTGGGGAATAGGATAGTAGGTTATTTCCCTAATTCAGAATTATTATCTGCTGTAGAAAGCAAGGCTTAGTGTGCCCAATCTCTTGTAGGGAGAGGAAGAACCTACCTCTTGGGATTGTGAAGCAAAAGAGCTGAGTGCACACACGGGTTTTTTTCTAAATTTGCGGATTACTCACTGTTCTGCTGCTGTTTCCTATGGTGTTATCCAGGAGATAAGTTAATGAGGTTTCTGGTTCAGTTTCCCAGTACTGAGTAAACTAAAACATTTCCTGATGGTTCTGTGGGTGCCTCAGACCTTGTTGGTTCTATGGTAAGGTCCTATTCTTCTTCTCTTCAGTGTAGGGTCATCCTTGCTGTAGCTTTATTCAAATGAGGAAACAGGAGTGCATGCCATACCCAGCTTCCTGGAGACAGTTCCTTGCTGATACTTATTTATATATCAATATAGTTGATATTTAAGTGTCTGTATAAGCTGATCACATCTAATGTAAAAGCAGATAGGTTGTCAGGTCTTTCGGGTCATTTCTGCTCTGGGGTCAGGAATTCCCTCCTACCTTCCAGCATTAATTCTGCTTCTGGTCAGTTGTCCTGAGTTTTCTGTGGATCTTCTCTCCCTTCTCTGAGAGGAACCAAGGCAGTAGAAGAGGGAGGAGAACAGCAGGTTCCTCCTTCCTGTTTTTCTAAGCTTTCTGGGTTAAGCTCTTCTAGTCCCTCGTGTAAAGGCTTGTCTCCTTCCATCATTTCAGTAGCCCATTTCTGCATCTTCTCATTTAAGAAAGATGGATTAGGACTGTGTACAACTCTGTGGGCTGGCTAAAATCTCCATGTGAGGACTGTGATGCTAGAAGGGAACTTGGATTTTCAGTAACAATATGTAGTAAGAGATGGGTAAGAGGAGGGTACAAAAGAAGGAAAAATACTTAAATTGAAAGGATTATTGCATGGCTTGTTACAGTTGAATACATTTGTGTTTCAGTTGCAGGAGACCTAGCTCTATCATATTGGCATAGTTATGTTTTAAATTCTGGTTATCAAATTTTGTCTTAAATCATTGGCTTCCAAAGCAGTAATGTAGGCACATTTGTTCCTTACCAGTTGTTCTTAAGTTAAGCTTTTTTATTTTTGCTTTAACCAAAGCTACTATATTATAATAACTATTATAAAATTATAATTATTAAAAAACTTTTCAAAAAATAGTAGGAGAGGAGGATCTTTGTGGAATGAGCAATGGTTTCTTGGTACCACCTTAAGATTATATTTTCATACTGGACTGATATGCACACATACTGTCCACATTCTGCAGTAATTTGATAAACAATTTTGATGTTATTTTTTTCCTGTGTGTCTTTCTTATCAGTGAAATTTATTTCCTGAATCCAACCTGACAGAGGGAGCTTCTAGAAAGACTCACTGGTTTCCATTTCCCAGCGTTAATAGAATTGCATCAGTTAAAGTGTACATCTCTTGATGTATCTGTACAAAACTGTTCCCTGGTCTGGTATCTTCCTAATGTACATTTTAGGTGGGCATCCTTTATTACAATTTTATGGTGAATATTCCAAGTGCTTACTAAAAGGTAATAGTGCAGTGATAGCAATTTTTGATTAAAGCAGTGAGTCCAGGAACATCTGTGAAGAGCAAACCTAGTTGAGAGGAGCAGGAAAATAACTGTTCATGGTAGGAAGTTTGCGTAAGTGGAATTATTTTTCAGTGTGACCTGATGTTGTTTGGAGAAGAGGCTTTTTTTTTTTTTTCCTTCTACCTAATACTTGGCTCACCCAGACTATCTTGTGTTGTTCCGGTTATTAAATGTGGGTAATGCTAACCACTGGCTTAAGATTTGCCAGATCTCATGCTAATCGTCATGGATGAACTTCAGTCTGTTTCGTTCATTATGGAAATCCATCTACCTAGATTGAAAAGATTGTGGTTTTGTATAAGGCTGTAGTTAAACACTGTTTCTGAAGCTGGAGTTCTCATGTATCTGCGGGCAGGAGATGCTTCTCTGCTCGTGTGGGGCAGGTAGACTTTGGACATTTATGTCCCGTATCGCTTTGATACTTTAAGGATTCGTGTACTTTACAGCAGTAGCTGTCTAAGACTGTGTCTGTGAAACTACCCAAAACGATATCCAGATGTACATGAGGAAAATGGATTCGTCTGTCTCTTGCCAGGTGACTTCTAGTAGTCTTTTATGGCTTCTGAGTTTAAATACCTATGCAGATACAATTTTGCCTTTTAATCTTGGTGGTTTCAATGTTTGGATTAAATCAAGATACCTTTGAGTTTCATTGCTAGTAATAAATGTTAGTGTTTAAATGGTTACTGAAAAAATGGCACCTGCATTGCACATTACAAAAACATTTTGTAAGAAGTGACAAAGAGAAAAAAGATTACGAGGTTTCAAAAAAAGTACCACAAAATATGTTGAAAAAGAAGGAAGAGGTAACCTGGAAATAAGCATTTTGCCTGTAGTGACCCCTCCAACGAAGTAGCAAAACGAGGTTCATCTCAGCTGTCTCTAAGCAGGTAAAGTAATTCAGACTCTGGCTCCCTCTTGATAGTGATCTTTGCATCTCTGGCAGACGATTAAAAAGATCTAGTGCACTGCTGCAGCGGATGAGACCAAATACTTGAATTGTGATCAAAAGTTTCATGTACCTCAGGACTTGTCAAGATACTACCTTCATTCAGTTGTAAGCTTTCATTCCAGATTTATGCTAGTATCGATTATACTGTGCTTTGACTCTTTTCCCAGGGGAAGCAAACGTTTGGTTGAGCTCTTCATATTCTGAACTGTAACGCTAGCATAAAAAGGCAAGAAAAATGCTGTTTAGATGAGCTTTTCCTTTTCCCTTGGATCTCACAAGTCACAGGTGTGTTTTGTGGAAGTCTGCAGGGATCTGAAACCTGCCATTACAGAAAGCGTGTCCTGCTGTATTTGGTGGCACTTCTGCTGCTGAGCTAAGAGTGGGATATATATGAAAGGGCTCTGTTATGTTTAACAAAAAAAGCAATTTTAATTTTCTAATTATTCCCGCCTGTTTCAAGGAGAAGAGCTTAGGGAGTTTCGTGTAACTCACTGTTCCATTCCTCTGCAGGTATGTGCAATCCGCGCAATTACAGTGACACCCCCCCAACATCCAAGAGCACTGTCGAGGAGTTGCATGAACCAATTCCTTCCCTTTTCCGAGCGCTGACAGAAGGGGATACTCAGCTGAACTGGAATATCGTTTCCTTCCCTGTGGCAGAAGAACTGTCGCACCATGAGAACCTCGTTTCCTTTTTAGAAACAGTGAACCAGCCACAGCATCAGAACGTCTCTGTTCCAAGCAACAACGTCCACGCACCTTACTCTAGTGACAAAGGTAATGAGTATAGTGTCTAAATTGATAGCGTTTCCTCTTGTCCCTTCCAGGAGCCTTCTCGGTGCATCTTCTGCGCTTGTCTGTGCTCGCTTCTCCTTTTCCCTCTGAACAAAGGCTGAAAAATTCAGTCTAATTTTGAGCGTGACGTAACAAAAGGAGTGAGGCAAAAATATTGAGGAACATGGAAGATGGTGTTAAAGTGTCTGATGATCTTAGGAGGTGCTGAACCACATGAGTTTGTTATCTCTATAATTCCTCTGGTGGCACGAGGCAGTTTGTTCACGTTATTTCACATGCACTGGCATGGTATGTTCTTTGATTTTGAAGCAGTTACCTGTAGCTTAGGAGACAGGACAAACCAAAAACTGAATGCAAATCATGTATCAGTGCAGAGGTAGGCAACTGAAATGCATGGCTTCAGAGGTTTGAGAAAGCCACATGCCATAAACGGTTGTATCTGGACTAGATGTTTCTTTCTTTCTCTGAGCTGGCATAACCTGAACTCTTTAGGAGGATGGTTTGTAGGAAATCCAGGATTAATAGTAAACCTGAGGAAGATTAGCAAGTTTGCTCTTTATGTTGAGGAGGGACATGTGACAGGCAATCTTAAAAATAAGCAATTTGGGGGCGAGGGTTCAACTTACGAACTCTATATCAAGTTTTTTATATTCTCGCTTACGGTTTAGAGGACAGACTTCAGAATATTGTCTGCTGGGGGCAGGGGTGAAGATGAGAAGTTTGAGGTAGTGACAACAGTGGCATAAGAAAAATACTCTCTGCTTCTTGGTTTCCATACTAAACCTGAAATACTTTTCCCTGCAAATCATTACATCAGGCTTAAAAAAATCCCATAAGCAGTTCATCGTGAAATTGCTGCTTAACAGGCAAAAAAGAGCATCTGATTTGTTTTATTAGTGTAATTAATGCCTTGCTTCCTTCCCAACACACACTTTAAATATTTGTAACACCATATGTTGCTGTTGTGATGGCTCTTTTATCTTATCAATGAAAGATACCGTAATTGATGGGCACGCTGCTTTTCCATACCACTGTGAACCTTTGACCTAGTTATGTTTCTGAGTAGGACTGCTGTTGATTAAATGGGATCGTAATGGCAACTTTTCTGATTTCCTTTGGTTAAGGCACGTTAAAACATAAATTAATTCCAGAACTGGGAAACCAGATGGTCAGAGAACATCTCATTCATATGTGTTTGGCATTACTGAAGCACTTGCTCGCCATGAGAATGATGCAGAAAGCCATGTTAAATGGCAAGCCACAAAAAGCCCTGTGTGCAAACACTACCAGTATTTAAAGATGTAAATTATACCCAGGGGAAAAAAATTATGCTTGGAACAATCTTGAATATATCCCACTACTCATAGGTACAGCGGCCCAGATGGCTGTTCCCTGACAGTCCTTTACTGCCATACCAGCAGGATGGTCTAATGATAGTTTTGGATTAAACTTGGAACTTGCATTGCATCTCAAGGGTGTGGAAGAGTTTTGAGTTTAACACCACAGACAAATACATAACACTGCAATTTTTTCTTAGTCAAAAGTCTCAATTTATTTTACTAACAACATGTTGGAGATTAGGTTGAGGGTGCTTTCACTGGGATAATGACAGTCCAAAAACAACAGTTATATTTGGAAATAGTTACCAAATGCCACTGGTTTTCGGGCTTCAGTAGACACTTAGAACAGAAATAAAGGTCAGAACTGTTCTTGTAATATTGGCTATGCATCCTCCATCTTAGTGATCAGTGAAGAACTGGAAAAGGTAGAAGATGGCTGTCAACATCCTAAACTTTTAAATATCTAGATATGTAAGCCTGTTGAGGAGTCTGTCATTTCTTGGCCACAATGTAGATAACTTTGTAGTGCTCTTCTTTTACAGAAGTCATATTAAAGCTTGCTTATAAAAACACGTATGATTCGAGCAGTGAGAAAGAAGGTGGAAAGAAAAGTTGGCTTGGTCAGTTGATGTTTTTTATGGTAGAAGCAAGGACAACTGGGGGATTGTACCTCTTGTGCTGGATGTTGCGTGAGCCAGGTTGCGGCATTGGTTTTAATACTTTTTTTTTTTTAATGAGTTCAATGGGGACGCAGTAACCAAAAGGTGGAGGGGTGGTAGGTCAAGTGCCAAAGACCCTAGTGAGCACAGGCACAGAGAGGGAGCCCAGGAAGTTCCTGGAGTCTGGTGGCTTCTGCCCATGCGAAGTTCAGTCACATAGTCGAGTTGCTGTGGTTTATCAAGCTACCATGTGCTAGAACCACGGTAGTGGAGGGTGGGCCTGCACCTGTGAATGTGTGCGTGCTCAGCTGCAGTAAACACAAGCTTAGCCTGACCATTGTCTCTTTACCCTTTCCTTCTCCCCAGATGTGCTGCTAGGCGTAAGGGCAGATCTTAACAAATGGAGATGTCCTTCGGGTGACTCGCTAAGCAGTTGTCTTCAAGGCTGTGACATTCAGGGATTTCCAAGAATATTCCTGTGAGCGGGAGCACAGATGCTTTAATGGTTTCTTGACAGTGCTGTGCCTCCTCCATTTTGTGGTGCTTCTGTGGCTCCTGGCGTGCTTCACTCCAACATGGTGTGCTGGCAGCAGCCTATTTCTTTTATTGCCTGTAAAGTGAGAGGGGCTAAGGAGAGGTAAATTTTGGTAAGTAGTCTCTCTGCTGTCTTCTGGAATACATCCCAAAATTTGGGAAGGCTCTGCCTATAAATCCTCCTTGTCACATCACGTAACTGGGTTCTGATTTTAATTTCAGCACGCATTCAGGCAGGGACCCGCTGTTAAGCTGGTCTGGGGTGCCAGACTTGCTCGATGCAGTTCTGGGTGGGTGCCAGGAAAAGCAGCACCAGCTGCGGGATCCAGCGAGCTTTGTGCCTGAGCACCGTGAAGCCACCGGCCCCGGGAGGGCAGCTGTGGATCCGGGAGGAGGTGGGGTGCGGTGGGATATAAAGCATTCCTTTCTCGCCCCAGCCTACCGAGATCCCGTGCGGCAGGCCTTGAACTTCCCCGTTATTATCTTAATGAGTGTCTTCCCTTTCCTCCTGTGAATTGACTTTTAATGTTCCGGCTGCCAAAGTATGTGTGCGCTGCCGTCGTTCTTCCCATCAGCAGTTTCTGGCATTTGAACTGCTACTTCAGAGAGGATTGCGATGATTATTAATCTAGAGCTACATTTATACTTTATTCTTTTTCCTTTGCTTTTAGCTGATACCCTCAGAGCTCTGAACTGTGAGTTCAGACGTTTAAATAAGCTTAATTGTTTCAGATGATGACAGGATGTTGGCGAGAGAGGGGAACTAGATAATCTTTTGGCGACCGATGAAACAAAAATCTGTGTTGTAGTAGTTAAGGGTTTCTGACGCTGCTTGGTGACACGGGGGATGGCGTCCACGCTGCGCTTCCGCTCCCCCCCAGTGCCATCCAGGTAGAGGAGCGCTACAAATGCAGTAAAGTGGCACCTATCTCAGTAGGGACTCTAGGAAAACTTCTTTTTTTTTTTTTTCAAAAATATTTCTTTTATAAGTTCTGATCGGCAAAAGATGGTATGGCTGCTGAAGGGACAGTTACCTTTTGTCTTCTCCGAGTTGCTAAATTCTTCCGTAGTGCACCAATACAGATCTCACTTGCAGCGTAGACAGTATCGTAGCAAAGCTTGATAGAAACATGAGTCCATTTCTTCTGATCATTTTGAATTTAGACGTGATTGTTGTTTCTCCTACATAATCTTTGTTGAGTATGAATTGGGGGGAAAAAAGTGAGAAACTCATGTTCTGGAAAAAAAAGAATGCTGATGCATCCTTCTCCCTCCCCATACCTGTAGTCTGTAGTCCTCGCTGTGTGAAAATGGGCAAAATGCAGATGAAAGAGCTGTTGCTGCACTAAGTAACATCATTTTTATCTACACTGAGGGAGCCAAGTGATGACTATGTAATTAGGTTTGTGAAACAATTTAAATACTCTCCCGGATCCCAACTGAGCCTGTAGGTATGTATTTTTTTTTTCCCCTGTGTACCTGTTTCTGAAGCCTATAAAGAGAGATGTAATGCCTGATGCGAGGAACTCTCCTGTTTTCAGTAATTCAGCATCTACATGGGCACACAGACGCTGCTGAGGAGGGGACCATGAGTGTCCCTTGATGAACAAAGTGCACCCCGGCCAATCTGACTCATTCAGACCTGGCAAGTCTTGGAGTGAGCGAGACTTCAGGAACGGTTTGGTAGTGTATACAATGGAGCATGTCCTCCAGCTGCTTACGAGAGCTACTGGGCACCAGCCAGGTCTACTGCTGGCTCTGGCCTGCTGTGTACAGTCTGTCCTCTCCCCTTCGCAGCATTTTTGGACTGGTCCTCTAGGACCTAATCCTCTTGGCTTGTGTGCAGGCGGAAATAAACTTTCTTCTCCACGCTCCAGTCAGTCAAGATTAATGTCCTTGGTTGTTGCTGCCACCTTAATAAGGTTGAGGTTTGGCTTTGGTTCCCATTTTGGTCGGAGAGTGGTCGAGGAGACCAGTCTCTCCAGTCTCACAGGGCCTGACTGCTGTTGTCTGGTTCTGCCAGGGTTATGGGCCTGGTGCTGCCCATCTTCCAGCCTCCTTCCCTTGGAGATATCTTCACTTGTGCAAAAGAAAGGCTTACGTGCCTCCAGCTGGGGCGTGATGCACAGAGGGAACATGCCAGGCTGAGTGGGTCCTCATGGGGAGGGAGTCACTCTGGGCATTTCAATCCTCTGAGGAGATGGTGCTCGAAAACAGGGCCAAGCAGTTGTCTTTGTAGCGAAGAGCTAGATGGTGCCTCTGTGTGTGTCAGAACTACCATAGGGATTCTCAGCAGTGCATTAAAAGCTGGATGCTGCTGCTCTGAAGACAAGAGGAACAGCTGGGACTAGCCATCTCCGGCTACAAGGAGGAGTAAAAGGGGAAGGACAGCCTTCGGATAGACCAAGCCTGGACAGTGAGCCCTGCTGTCGGAGGAATAGCAGAGGCGAGACTACTAGGAGGAGATGCCAGTAAGAGCCACTAGCTGCCTCATACATACTGCTGCTGGAGGAGGACCAGAGCGTGGTTTTCTAGGGATGGTATGACAGTTGTGCCTATCTGCTGCCGTACACGTGCTCCGCTCTTTGTGGTACAGCCTGCTTTTCCACAAGGCTGCGACTGTGTCCTGAGCCACCAATGTAGTGCATACGTTGGTTGGATTCCACTGAGCAGCAGACAGGAACTTCAGGCATAGGTAGTTCAGTGTCATGGATCTTTGCATCCTAGAAATGACATGCTCTTCTTCTGCAAGAGGTTTATTTCAAGTTTCAGCAGGCATAAGCTGCTCTTCTGACTTCTGCAGAACTTCTGAACTGGTACTGTCACAGATGAGGCTAACACAAAGGTGAACACAGGCATTTCCTAACACAGACGGGACTGGTCATTCTCTGGTGTGGAGACAGGGTGCAAGCGCTGGGAGCAGCTAACCCACCTCAGAGCGTGCAGAACCTTCCTGACAGCCTCTCCTGACTTACTGGCTTTCCTTTGCATGTTGCAAGTAGGAGTGCGGTGATCAGTATGATAGCAGTGAGCACTTCTAGCCATCCTTGCGAGAGGACTCTGGTTGCTTTAAAAGAGTTTTTCCACTACTGTCTAGAGAGAGCAATGAGTCATTTCGCCTTCTCAAGCTGATCCGGAGATTGGGTCAGTCAGGTGGACATGGCATCTCAAAAGCTGATTTTGCAGCAAGAAACCTTTCTGGATTAGCCAGGATTGCCTGTGTCGGGGCAGAGGCTGTGTGCCTCCAGCTGACGTCTTCTAAGACTGACCTTATTTATGGCATTTAAGGTCAAACTTGAGAAGAAAACTACTAAAAAGGCATCAAAGGAGTGAACTGAGATTAAGCAAGAGGGTATAAAGAGAATGAATACTTCTTAGAGAAGTATTATATATATTATAGAAGCTTCTGTAAGGTTCCTGTGCTTGCACACCAGCACTGAACTGGATGACTGATGGGACACTGCTGCTTGGATCTCGTGATGGACACTGCCTGGAGACTCACTTCTACTTTTTCACACCCTGCTCTTCCACTGAAAACCTCCTGTGAGGATTGAGGGGGACAGATACCTGGGAGTGCCTGGGCCTCCTGAGAATGGAGGGCATATGCTCCTTCTTGGGACCCAGGCAATCTTAGTTTTTTTGTCGCTGGTGATGAAACGTTGTCAAGTCCTTGTGCGTTCTCTGTAACAAGATGGAGCTGCTGTGTGGCACCTAGGTGGTTTCTTGACTATGACGCTGTGGTGGCTGCCTCCCCTTACTGCTTTTCAGCTTTGGCTGAGGACTTCGGTATACACCTGGCTGGTGCTAAGTGCTACCACAGCATACGCTTCCGTTTTGCTCTTTCCCCCCTCCTCTGTGAATAAGGTGTCCTTATTGAAGCAGGAGATATGTTGGTTCATTTTAGGCAGAGGTTTTGTTCTCTGAGAACTCTTTCTCTGGTTGCTGTGCCTCAGGCTGTATTATAAAGGGTCATAGAAATAGCAGTGCCAAAAATGGGACGGGACACAGTGTATTTTGTTGACATTCCCAGCAGTACTTCAGGTACTCCAAGATTTTGTGGACAACTGCAGCTTTACGCACAGCACAGCTTTCCTGGGAGCAGAAAACTGCTTCAGCTATGGGTCTGCACTTCCTCCCCAAGAACCTTATTGCCTGTTGCATTGCATACGGTGTCTGCAAGAAGTGTACATCAATTCAGAGCCTGAACAAGGCAGTTAATTCTCTCTTGCTTTCAGTGGGATGGCAGCATGTCCTGTGATCCTCTTGCAGTTGTTTAGGTAGTAGTAAAAGAGTTTGACAGTGATCAAGGTTCCCTCATGTTTTGACATTCCCATACATGTTTTGACAAATGAAAATTCTTAGAAGGGTAGGCATGGTTTCCAGATGTGAAGGAGGAGGACGTGTCCACAGGAAAGCTGGCAGGTACATTGTGCTCTCCTCTATGTTGTGTTGTTCCTTGCCACGTGTACAGAGATCATCTATTGTTGGTGCTGGGGAAACTGACTGCATAGATCTGATGGCTTGTAGGGTGTTGAAGAGCCTTGGTGGCCTCAACCCACCTTTGGACCTCACCTTAGGAGCTTGCCATGAGATGTGCATACTACTGAGGTTGCTAATCTATGGGACACCAATGTTTTGAAGGGGAGGTTCTGGTGCACTTCAGCCTCCCAAGACTTACTCACAGATAAGAGACTGAATAAATGCTATGGTTAACTACTACACTGCTCTGGGAGTCCTTTGATTACTCACCCTTCTCCATAATCATAAAAAAACAAACAAACCAACACTGTCTTGATTTAACATTTGTGTTTGTATTATGTTTTCCTAATCCATATTGGAATGTAGGTCAGTATGTTTCTCCTGGATCCAAGCACCGTAAGTAGTAATAGGCTAGAAAGCCCCTTGACACCTCCTGCTTACAAATCTGTCTGATGTGTGCGGGTGAGACATTCATGTTTGTCGACAGCTTTCAGTTGTGCTTTTCCCCAAAGTGTGCCCTGTTATGTTGGGGTAAATGTGATGCAGTGCAGGCCCTTTCGAGGGTGAACAAAGTTATGGTCTAATCACCCGGTCAGCACAGAAGAAAGTTGGTAGAATCTGTCAGCTTGGAGAACTGGAAGTAGACTGGGAAGGGTTGTTTTTATTTTATAATTGTGGTGAATGCTTCAGCTTCAGTTGGAGGTTGCACCGCCAAACTTCATGGCATTTCAAGTAGTTGCATGGATGTTAGCAGAATAGAGTCAATGCTCGGGCAGAAGGGGTTTCTTAATCTTAGTAGTAAAGCTGGCGTTGTTGCTATAAAAAGGAGAAAAAAGTGCAGTTTCAAGTTGAGGAAAACGGGATTCTCTAGCTCTGATTTAATGTAGTTTAAGAATATTGCTGACTTGAGGGGGTGTTTATACACTTAGATAAGTGGCTTTTGGTGTTTTTTAAAAAAATTCTTTAAAACTGAACTTTTCAATGAGAGCATATAATAATTGCTGGCAACCGTGAAAGTGGTATCTTGATGATGCTTGCTTCTTATTTTGGCATAGCCCATCCTTAGACTTTAAAAGGTATCCCTCATAACCGTGGGACACACAAAAACACCCATTCTTGCCTGTGACTATAGAAATAAATTAAGCCAGAGGCAGAGCAGACAACAGGTTGAGTTGTAGACACTGAAAACTTGAAGTTGATAGATCACACCTTGGGCCTCTGTCTTTTCTCTGCTTTCACTATCACCTTTTTTTTCTTTATGCCTCATAGTCACAATGATTTGCAATCCTACTTCAAAAGCTGCACATTTTATTGATTTTTAACTAACCTTTAAAAATATTTTAAGACCTTTTAAACCACATTTTTTCCCCCTCTTGGTTTAGAACACATGTGTACTGTGGTGTATTTTGATGACTGCATGTCAATACATCAGTGCAAGATCTCTTGCGAGTCCATGGGAGCATCCAAATACCGATGGTTTCACAACGCCTGCTGTGAGTGTATTGGGCCAGAATGCATCGACTATGGCAGTAAAACTGTAAAATGTATGAACTGCATGTTTTGAAGCAGGAAAATTGTAATATAGCGATACTGAGGCCAAAGTAATCTCTCTCGGATAAAGAGACGGGGATTGCAAATACTGCCTTTTGGTGGAGTGCCTACTGGTTGCAATTAAATGTACCTGGTTGAAAAAAAAGATGTATAAAATCTGAAAACTTTTTTCTTTTTTTTTGTAATTCATTTAAGCAAGGCTAACTAGTAGAAATTTCAACACTATGTTTTAAGTTTATTTTTCTTTATTTCTGCTCAAATGGTACAGCCATGCTCATCCCTGCTGTTCTGATTGTCTTCCTTTGATTTGAAAGTATTGACTATACAGGTTTTCAGAATGTAGTATATCTTGTAGTTTAGAGTAGGGAAACCTTAAGAATATGGTAATGAGATTCCCATCAACTAAGTTCAACAAATAACCAAATGGCTGTTAGGTTGGAGGGGGTACTTGTTCTTTAGGGGCTGGGTATTTTTGGTTTTAGTTTCTGGTTTTGTTTTTTAACTTTATTATCTTCCGGTTTTTGAGCTTAGTCTTCTATTGTGAAAGTTATATTTGGGGAAGAAGAAAATTGATGCTTTCTTTTCAAGTTCAGTGCATGGGCTGTCATGGATAAAATCCTAACTTCTTAGAAGGGCTGCCCAACAAAACACTATGTATGGGACACTTTTCTTCCAAGTTTCATTTGCCCTGCTCTCGTAAGTACATTGGAGCCTGTGTTAAGTAATGTATATATTTAAAAAAAAAAAAATCTCTTTTCAGTCTTCTCTTAGATACCAAAATAAAGCTGTTAAGTGCAGTTGCATCTCCCTCCTTTTGCACTGTTCTCTAGGGTTGCTTACTCCCTGAACGTTCAGTCCAGTAAAGGAAACATGAAAGGGTGTTATGGGTTTAACAACTAAATGAATAAAGAACAAAGAAATGACATGAACTAGTAAGTGGTACAGGGTTACCAGTTGAGCAGTTGGCAGTAGGCATGTTCCCATTTAGTAGTTTGCTGTGAATATTTATTCCAAAATGTAGTTCTTTTGCTTTTTTCCCCCACACAAAATGTCGTCACTGAAGAAGGGAAGATGTGTCTGCAAAGGCAAAATTAGGATGTTCTGAATTTAGAATATTCTGTCCTTTTTTCTATGTAAGAGTTTGAATGTGTTGACGGTTACATAGCAGTTACTATGACCCAGTTAGGTCTCCATTGGTAATGGTACTAAGTACAAGAAGAAAGTGTATGAGTAGTTAATGATCAGCTTTTGGTATTTATAATGATGTGGGTTTTAACTCCTTGAAATTTTGTTTAAATGCATATATGCATATGCACACACGAAAAAGAATTTAACTATTCATGTTTCTCTCACTAACCTCAGTCTAGAGGGATTAAACTGTTTTCTAGATACACCTGTCTCTCTGTACCATGTACAAATGAAAGCAGTCGTTTTAAATTGATTTTGTTGAAAAGTTTCCCTGAATGTTTTTTTCATTTTTTTCTCATGATACAGTCCTTTCAATAAGGTGAAATAATAATAATAATAAAAAAATCTACTCTTGTGAAATAACACTTTCTTCAGTCTCTTTTTCAGCTGTAAAGAAGTACTTGAAAGATGAATGTTTATTGCTTTGAACTAGTGCATAATGGAATACCTTCATACTCTAAACTTGCAATTAAGTGATAAAAAATCATAGACGTGAATGGGAAAAAGATTATCACGAAGGAGTTGTTCTTCCTATATTTGACAATTCATGTTATCTTTTGTTCTGCTTGAGTTTCTTAAAATGAATGGAGAGAAAGAACACGTTAGAGTAGTTGTGAGTGTTTTTAGCTGGAGGGTGATGCATCATCCTTCTTGACCAAGATAAGGAGACACATAGGAAGCATTGCTACAGGTCATTAGCATGCTTTGGATCCTTGGGGAGTGGGAGGGACAGGGGAGCTGGCCTAAGAGGTGCCCAGGAAACACTGTGGGGAACAGCATAAAAATGTAAGTACAGTTGTCTGGGTTGTAGTGGCCTGAGAGTAGCTGGTGAGGATGCACACCTTCTGGGGCTTGCCTTACTTTTTGTAGTTCCTGATGCTGTCTAGAGTTTGCTGTAAGCATTGTTGTATATGCAAATGTCATACAGCATCATCCAGTGTATTTTATTACGATGAATGTTTTAAGAAGTATTTTAATAAAAAGACATTACCGGTTCATGTGTTTTCTTTTTCATGATTTTTCTCAGGGCAAATGTTACCAGAAGCAAAGTGTAAAAGTTACTGCTCTAGATGGACAGAGTAATACAGAGAGTTGTTAAATCTTGAACACTTTTTTCCAAACCTAAAATCGTAGTTTCCTTTTAAGTTTTTTTCATAAATCAATAAAATAGAATTTTATTAACAGTTAAAATATTCTTTCTGACAGAAATCTATTAATTTGGAAGGTTGTTTATTTAGTCTTGCTCCATTTTGCAAGAAAAATTATTATTTATTTTGGGGGCTCTTATTTCACCTAGGTCTGGATACCAGCAAACCACAACCTACATAAGTGCTTTAGAATACTTAATAACATGCTGTGCTTCAAAAACTCTTCTGGATAGGAATCTTCTCCAGGTAAAGCATCAGCCAGTTCTATCGCTGTCCTTCGGGATAGAATTGTAAAACACCAAACTTAAGGGGAAGCAAAAAAGGCAACACATATAATAAGAAACTACCCAAATACCTAGTCTTTTGGGGTTCTGACTGAGAAGAAGGGGTTGATGGCCTTTTGTCATTCTTTCTCTAAAAGTAGCAAAGCTTTTTGTTGCTTCAGGTTTTAGTTTTTGGGTTGTTTTTTAATTTGTTTCTCCCCACAGGCACTTGTTGGTCCTAAGTTTCAGAAGCATTGACACCATGCAGAGAGAGTAAGTTAAATGTTGGTCGTAATGTGACATTGCTTTCCTGTCATTTCTTAGGATTCCTGGCTTGCTTTTAGTACGTTTAATGGATTTTACATCTAGTACTTAAAAACTGAATATAAGAACATCTGCTCACATCTCTAATAGCATATCTATGGTGTCTCCAGTATCCATCCCAAAATTACAGCTGCTTTGATACCAAGCCTCCCCTCCTACTCACTGTCTGGTCTGGTTTGATGTTTGCTGGCGATCGATCACACACAACAACATGCACAATGCTCCGATCTCTCCATCGGCAGGCACGTGAGACATGGAGGCCCCTGTGACTCGTGGTCCCCTCTCCAGTGGCTGGCCCTTACACCTCCATACACACAGCAGAGAGACCCCCTCACCCAGGAGAAATTTCATGAGAAGACAGGACAGACCATGGTGATGAGGTACCTGCAGGGCATGGCCAGACAAGTGTACTGACCGGCAGCTTATTTGCAGCTTACCAGCCCCTTTTACCTTCTTATCCCTCTTTTTCCCCATCTTTGTTCCTCCCCAAACAACCTTGATCCCTCCCTTTCCCTGCCTTTGGTCCTTCTGCTGCAAATCCTGACATAAGTCTTGTGCCATCCCAAAATGCTCTTCCCCTACATCCCAGGACTCCCGTACTCCCACAGGCCATAACCCCCATAACTCACAGCAATGGCTGTCATGGGGCAGCCCAAGGAGGGGCTCATTTCTCTGGGTACCATATTGGGGGTTCCCAACCTGCTGTTGTGCCACTGCCCTCCTTTGTGCTCATGGAAAGGAGCACTGATCACATAACCTAATGTTTTGCTGATCATAATGTCTGCTGGGTTTTGTAAAAGAAACACCTGTACCAAGATTTGCCACATGCTCTTGGCATGACATCTTTCACCAAGCAGTACATCATTAAGACTTGTGCTACCCACATAGCAAAGCATACTTAGACACAAAAATGTTGCAAGGAACACGGCAAATCCCTTTCAGGCAAACCTATTTAAGATGTAAGGCTGCCAAGAACCAAGTGGTTTTTATATCCTCTTCCTTGCTTAAGTATTTTTAAATTTTCTCCTTACTGCAAAGATCTTGGAATGGTGTGACTCCATAGTAGTGCTATGGGGAGTTCAGTGTCATACAGCTCTTTTGGCTCTCTTCCCCTGCTGTGTGGTGGTACTTACAAATAATGCCTTCGTGGGAAAAAGTATGTTAACTAATCTACTTCTTCTACGCTTTCCTTTGTATATTCATGCTCTCATTGTTTCACATGTGTGTTTCCATATGTGGCCAACCAGCTTCTTTCACAAGAAAGAACCTCTTTATGACTGCTGTGTATTCCTTTATTGCTAATGAGAATTGGGTAGTGTGTCTCAGGCTGTCCCAGAATAGTACAGCCTAGGTAGCTTCCTATCTCTACAAGACAAACTCAGCCCCAGAACTGGCTTGCTTGAAGTACTAGTATAACTGAGAGGGAATGGGAAGGAATTATTCATTCATTAACACAGCTCTGCCTTCCCCGACCCCCCCCCCCTTTTTTTTGTTTTTGACAAAATACTTCCTAAAGCTCCCCTTCATTATTATTTTATTACATTTATGAGGCTCAGGTGCTCAGCAAGAGTGAATTTCAAAGCAGAGAGCTTACCACCTCAGAATCCTTGCTTGACTTTGTCCTTAAAGAAGTAAGAATTTAGAGAGTGAATGTGGGGCCTGGAGGGTGTAAGGAAGTGCCTCGGTCTGTGTGAGTAGGCCTCAGACCACAGTAAGTTTTGTAAGTTAGAAGTCATCCAAATGTTTTTCACATGGCAGTAAATGGGTATAGTCAGCACTGCACACAATCGCTTGTTTGTCTTCAAAAAATGGGAGAAGATTCACTCTGGGTTCATTAGCTGGTGGGCCCATTGTGTGTGAACTTGTGCTGGCAACAGCCTCTGATAATACTTACTCTTCAGAGTTGAGAGCCTCTGGCAAGTGGAGATCCTCACAGGCAATCCTCTCAAATTACTATGGGATGTTACTGAAGTAACCTTTCTTTTCCCAGAAGTAACACAGCCTTTGTATAACAAAAAAACATTAGCTGCAATGTTAAGTTAAATAAACCAGCAAGCCCTTGCTGTGAAGCCGTTTCTTCTGGAGGGGAGAAGGGTAAATGGGAAGTTGCGTGGTTATGTAATATGCTGTGGAGACAATATCCCTGTGCTCCAACACTAATCGGAGTGTTTACAACCCTCCCTTTTGTGTTTTCTACTGAATAGCACAAATTCCTGTGGGGGACCTTTTACATTACCGCGGGAGGTTGCACAAAGAGCCCATTTGACAGGGACTAAGCAGCATTGAATCTCAAGTGAATAAATGAAGCAGGTGGCACGCTGCCACAGTATTAGTGCATCCAGTAGCCCAGGGATTATGTTTGAGGCTGTTGGGAATGAATCGGTCTGCTTCTTACT